GGCTACTTTGGACATCTTGAGAGTTCAATTGCTCTCACTATTTTGGCCACAAAAAGGAGGGGCTGTTCCAATCTTCCTTACAATCACCGCCCTAATCGTTACATTACACTTTCACAATTTAATCCCTTTATCTGCCTCACTGCCTTTTGGGAGCTAAGTAAGCACCACAGTGTGAGGCTTGATGATATAGCTAGCAGGGTAGCCTTACCAAGTGCCGCCCAGCTGCCAGCTACACACACAGCCAGGTGGGCAAGTCCAGAGTGCTAATCTGGACAGTGACATCTCTGTCACCTGCTCAAAATCCTTGAAACTTGCTCTCTCTCCAATATGGAGAAAAAAACAAGCACTGCATAGAATTGCCAGACATCACCCTGTGCTTTCTTCTGCTCAGTTTTAGATGGCCATTTGGCATTCTAAAGAATACTCATGCACAGAACTCCAGTTTTTCTATTTCAGTTAGAACTCGGTAAATAACTATTGCATACCTGTTACTAAGCAATAGGATTTAAAAAAAAAAAAAAACATGGTCAGAAACTATGCTTTCACAAAGTTCTTGTTCTTTTTCCACAAAATATTCTGAAGATGAAAAGCTTAATCGTACATTTTCTCTCTCATTCTCTCTCTCTGTCTCTCTCCAAATCTGTTCATCTCTCAAGGCAAGACATATTTGCAGGAGGAATTTATTTTAATCCACAACCTTTGGGGACACACAGCTTAGATAAAGTGTTGAGAAGATGAAACTCTGGCTTATAGGACTCGCTGAAAATATGTGTGAAGTAAAAGAACGTGTTTTTCACCCAGAGAACCTCTTGCTCCATCTTAGACTAGATGGTACTTATTAATGTACCCCCCAAAAATATTTGCTTATCTTTGTTGAGTTAGCTTCAGAGTTATGTGGGATGAATTAACAAATATTACTAATGGTTAAAATTTTATTGACTGTGTACCCACCAGGTTTATAACACTGCTGAACAATGGCAGCTAAATCCAACCAGAAATTTGAGGGGGAGTATTTTCATACTTAATTTTGCAATGTTAGTAAAGAAGCAGAAATTTCTTCAAATTTTCCAAAGATGGTGATCTATAGATCACAACTGCTTCTTTAACTTATTTTTTTACATGTATTTTGGGAAGTACTGGGTATCAAACCCATGGTGTTATAGATGGCAAACACATATTCTATCACTGAGCAACGCTTCAAACCCTGATGTATGTGTTTTGTGCATGCACGCATGCATGTGTGTTATGTGTGAGTGTGTGTATGTGTATGTGCCAACACTGGGGCTTGAACTCAAAACCTTGTATTCTCGCTTAGCTTTTTGCTTACAGCTGGCACTGTACCACTGAAATCGTACCTTCAGTACAAATTTTTGTTCATTCATTGAAGATAAAGTCTTAAAGACTATACTGCATGGGGTGCCTTCAAACCAAGGTCCTTTATGTCTCAGCTGCCTGAATAGCTAGAGTTACAGGCATAAATCACCATACCCACAAGATTTATTTTTTATTTTATGCTTAAATAATCAGAGAAGTAGGTATTAGTACTTTCAGTGAATAAAACATTTTTCTAAGTAAACATTCATAAGATATGCCAATAATGAACCAGAAAATATGAAAATACAGCTGTTTAAAATATGATGATACAGCTGTGTAGAGACTTCATACATAGTCTACACTAACTGGCCTTTGTGTTCCTCAGTTAAAACTACACAAGGCTATGAATTATTCCTTCTATTTTATGTACAAATCAGATATTTATTTGAAATATATGTGCATATATTCTTGATACACACACACACACACATATTCTTGATTAGTTTGGGGCTTTTTCTTTTCCAGTTCTGGGGATTGAAACCAGGGTTTCAGGCATGTTAAACAAGCACTATAGCACTCCAAACAGTGCTATAAGTAAACTCTTTGCTGCTTTTCTCAGTCACGCATCCATGTAGCTGTGTAATAAATAGAGGAGCAAGGGAGAGGCTGGTTATAGTTCAGTGCTAAATCACATGCATAGCATTCCTGAAAGCTCTGTTTTTCATCTCCAACACCCAAAACTAAAGAAAACCAAATCCAAAGTGGGAGATGGCACAATCTTTGTCACAAAGAACAGTAATGATCTTTCAGTGCAGCTGGTTAAAAAAGAATTGCACTGTCTGACACTCCTAAAAGGAAAGGGTAAGAGGGGCTGCGAAGGTGGCTCAGTGGTAGAGTGCTTGCCTTGCATGCAGAGGCCCTGGGTTCGATTCCTCAGCACCACATAAGCAGAAAAAGCCGGAAATGGCTCTGTGGCTCAAGTGGTAGAGCGCTAGCCTTAAGCTGCCCCATGACCAACAAAAAAAAAGAAGGAAAGAGTAAGAAACTGCTCTACATGCACATCAGGGGTTCAGAATCATCTTTTGTTAAAACAATTTAAAGTATTAGAACTTAATGTACACTACATGTTTTGCACCTAAAAATAAACAAGTAACAAAACAAAACAAAAAACAATGGCATCGTGGCCAGCTGGTTGCCCATGGCTCATGCCTTTAATCCTAACTTCTCAGGAGGCTGTGATCTAAGAATCACAGTTGGAAGCCAACTCAGGCAGGAAAGTCCATGAGACTCTCATTTCCAATTAATCACCAAAAAGCTGGAAGTGGAACTATGACTCCAAGTGGTAGAGTGTTAACCTTGAACACAAAAGCTCAGGGACAGCTCCCTGGCCATGTGTTCAAGCCCCCAAACGGTCACTAAAACAAAACAAACAAAAATAGAATATCACATGGCTAGTAAGGCTTCAAATAAATTGATTTTTACTTAGGTCCAGCAAGGAACCATTAGATGATTCAATGACTGGTCAGATGACAATGGTAAGTCAGTAACAACATGGTAGAAATATGGACCGCAAATGGAGCTGTGGTTCAAAGTGATAGAGCATTAGGCTTGAGCACAAAATCTCAGGAACAGTGCCTGGGTCCTGAGTTCAAGGTCTAAGACCAGGGCAAAGAAAAACAAAGAATTAGAAAGAGGAAGGAAGAGGAGAAAGAGGAGGAGGAGGAAGAGGAGGAGGAGGAGGAAATAGAGAGCCAGACGCTGGTTGCTCATGACGCTAGCATCATCCTAGCCATGAAATCCTAGCTACTCAGGAAGCTGAAATCTGTGTGAGGATTGTGTTTTAAAGCCAGGCCAGGCAGGAAAGTCTGTGAGACTGTTATCTCCAGTTAACCAGCAAAAATTCAAACCTGGCGGTACGGCTCAAATGAAAGAGAGAGGGGTGTGAGAGAGAGAGAGAGAGAGAGAGAGAGAGAGAGAGAGAGAGAGAGGAAGAAGAAGAAGAAGAAGAAGAAGAAGAAGAAGAAGAAGAAGAAGAAGAAGAAGAAGAAGAAGAAGAAGAAGAAGAAGAAGAAGAAGAAGAAGAAGAAGAAGAAGAAGAAGAAGAAGAAGAGAGGAAGGAAGGAAGGAAGGAAGGAAGGAAGGAAGGAAGGAAGGAAGGAAGGAAGGAAGGAAGGAAGGAAGGAAGGAAGGAAGGGAGGGAGGGAGGGAGGGAGGAAGGAGCAAAAAGAAAGAAGCAAAAAGAAAAGAGAAGATAGACTGGAAAATTGGCAGCAGTAGGCTGCATGTTTATTACCATAAGCAAGGCCCCTGGTTCAATCACTAGCACCAAAAATGTAACTACATAAATGTAATATATATAATAAAGTATGAGGAGAATTCATCGGTGTGCTGTGGATCCTCAATAAATGATTTCTCTTTCCTTCCCCCATGTTTCTATCACAAGAGACTGAAAGAAACGAAATCTAATTTTCTTTCAGAATATAGATACATCTTTAAAAGTGAACTGAGTTGTACATTTGTAGATGACTACTTTTAAAGATGCACATAGAAAGTGCATTCATGTTTCTTTTTGACATTTGGTGGGAAAAATAATGTTTATCTAACTCAGAAGACTTAAAAAGTTTGGAGCTACCATCACTTACAAATTTGGAGGCATATTTGATAATTTAATGCAATTTTATTGGTATGATTTAGAGGGCTTTTTAGAGATATTCATTTAAAAATGAGGAAAGCCTATGTAAAGCACAGGGAAAGTAGACAGTAAGGACTCTCAAACCATCACATTGGTTCAGAGCAGCAGTTCTCAAAGTATAGTAACTTGGCTTAGCAGAATCAGCCTCACTTTGGAATTGCCTATAAATTCTTAGACCCCTATCCCAAATCTAAGGATTCAGAAGCTCCAGGGACGGGATCCAGGAATCTACACTTAAACAACACTGCCAAGTGATTTTAATACATGCTCCAATTTGAGGACTAATGGTCTAAAGTATTTACTATTTCCATACATCTATAAGATGAACTAAAAAGCACTATTAATTTAACATGGATATGTATATTTCCACAGTTGCTACATAGACTCCCATTGTTTTAATAATAGCTATACTCTTTTTTTAGGTGGTAAAAATTATAATAAAATTTAATTATTGTGGGTCCCTTGAAATTGGTATATTGGTTCTTTTTTTTTGGTCTGTTTTGTTTTTAATTGTTAAAGTGATGTACAGAGAGGTTACAGTTCCATAAGTAAGGTATTAAGTACATTTCTTGTCACACTTGTTACTCCTTTGCTCATTTTCTCCTACTTTCCCTCCTCTCAAGCCCCCCCCCAGGTTGTACAGATTATTTCCAACATACTGTCTTGTGTATGTTGCTGTTGCATTGGCTGCCCTTGTCCTTTGTCTCGCCATTCTGTTGTTTCCTTTCCCTTCCCTGATTCAACTAAATGTATATTTTAAACTCCATTCAACACTTAGTATCATTGCATCATCATAAGATCTTAATAGTGGAAGTAGAATTAATGGATGGGGAGACATTATTCTATCCTCTACTATCAATTTTAATCTCTACTTTCTACTCAAGATAGAATTCACACGTGAAATAGTTGGCCTGAATACAAACCAGGGAGAAGGAAAGTACACTTTATGAGGCTGTAAGGGGATGGGATGTTTATTCTCAGGTCCAACACTCACCTTGAATTGTCCTCTTGAAGAACGCCTTGCAAGCTTCACAGGATGCAACCCCGTAGTGGTACCCAGAGGCGATGTCACCACACACTAAACACAGTCTCTTGGGCATGGAGTTAAGCATGTATTCACACTTGGTTTGGGGATCTTCAACTATGGTGCTAGAGCAGTCATCATACAGTTTCCTGACAGGCCCATTACCTCCCAGGATAGGAGCGGAAGGGTAGAGAGGTGGCGAGTCCAGTCCGTTCTGATGACCATTCATGGTTGAACTGTAGCTCCCACTGGCGTCGGAAGAGCCACCAGGACTGTGGTGGTTGACGCTGTCCGTCAGGGAAGCTGGGCTGGAGGGCTCCGTCTTGATGAAGGACGAACAGCTGGAATCAATGTGTCGATCTTTGTTTGACATTCTGCAGAGAAGCCTGAGATGGAGAGAGAGAGAGAGGAAGAGAGAGAGAGAGAGAGAGAGAGAGAGAGAGAGAGAGAGAGAGAGAGAGAGAGAGAGAGAGAGACAGGAGAGGGTCAAATACAACGACCAACAGAAGTAAAAAGACAAAAAAGAAAAAGAAAAAAAAGTGCTGGGCTCCGGTGGCTCAGGCCTGTCATCCTAGCTACTCAGGAGGCTGAGATCTGAGGATCATGGTTCAAAGCCAACCCAGGCAGGACCATCCTTGAGACTCTTATCTCCAATAACCACCAGAGAACCAGAAGTGGGACTGTGGCTCAAGTGGGAGAGCGTTCTCCTTGAGCTAAAGAACTGAGGGACAGCACCCAGGCCCAGAGTTCAGGCCCCACGACCGACAAAAATACATGAATAAATAAAAATTTTAAGAAATAGTAGAAAAAGTAAAGAGGAAAGATGGAAGGAGGAAAACCAAAAGAAGAATGTGCATTGCTCTTTGAGAGTGTTTCGGTGGGGGGAGGGGGAGAGTAGGGGACTGCACTTCACTCCTTCTCCCGTCAATATCTCTTGTTCTACAAGAAGGCAATCAGCATAAGGGCATGCCAGAGTTACATCAACGCATAAGACAAGCCGTAAACAAACGCTCTAAAGGGGCCCCCTTGCTTTTATTTTACCTTTACTCCTGGTGTACAACTGTCAATATCCAAATTGACTCTAGATTCTAAATTTATCAATGGAAGAGGTGGTGATTGGTGAAGCCCGTGTCATTTCTAAAAATGTCATTTATCCTCACTCCATCTCTCCCACTTTCTCGCGCTGCGTGCATTTTATTATGAGCAGAACCAAACTTTTATTTCAAGAGTGAACAGATGATTCTCAGCTCTGTAATTACTATTTGTCAGCATGCTTCCATAGCATAACGGTGTCTTTTATTGATCTCACTGAAGCGCATCGGGAATCTATCCTCAATCATGTCGTTTCTTTATTTAAATCGCCCCATTTCATAGCCATTTCATAATGTATAAAGATATCAAATATAAAATTCTAGCTAGTACTTACGGATTACTTCCTAAGGCTCCAAAGCTTTTTGACTGATCACCATCACCAGCACTGATCAATACATTTGTGTATAGGTGTGTGTGTGTGTGTGTGTGAGAGAGAGAGAGAGAGAGAGAGAGAGAGAGAGAGAGAGAGAGAGAGAGAGAGAGAGAGTTCACCTGTGGTCTGCCATTATTTAACAGATGAATCTTTAAAAGCCATCTGAGCCTTCAGTAAGTCATAAATCTCACACTCCATATTTAGTACTGCAGAAATGTATCAAAGTTTGTTGTCTCTTTCTCTTTCCCTTTTGTCTTTTAACATCTCTTGGAGGAAAGTATGATGAAGTATCTAATGAAATCATGTTCCTCAAGCCCTCATATCTAGAAGAAGTACATCCACTTCTTTCTTTGTTGGATCCACAAGCCATTGACTTTCTCAAAAGGTAATTAAATGCAAAAATAGAATTGGTGCCATTGTCTTTCAACTTAGCCATAAAGCAAAAGCACTGTTCACAAAACCTCTAAGAATCTTCTAAGAGCCCGGGATAGAATGAAGAAGTGACAATTGAGAGAGGGACTTAGATAATTGCTTCCTGATGGAAGGTTGATTTATGGGAATCCCATTGTGTAATGGTCATTCGCTGGAATTTTGAGGACTTGGTCACCCTAGAATCAAGTGATACGATGACCCCTCCCACCTCTAAGTCTAATGAATTTTACCTTTGCACAGATTTCAGTCTCTCCTCTGGACCTCCCTTCCCCCATTGTTCTGTTCCTTAAAAGGGTAGAACACTCAGGAATTTCCTTATCAGGAATGTCTCTACCTAACAGTTCCAAGCACAAAGAATCTCCTCCTTCACACTGTGGAACTTTGCTTTTTAAAGTCAAGCAGTATCAGGGTGTGCTGAAATGAAGGACACACACACACACACACACACACACACACACACCACACATCATCTCCCTTTGCCCACCCACTTGTGTTTGCCCTAAACTGAAAGAGCTAGCAAAAGAAAAAGTCTCCCCCTCAACCAGCCCGAACTACAGCATCTTCTTTCCTCTCCGACCAACGCCCCCCCCCCCCCCCAGCATCTGCTGCCTTGTACCCGTCACTGCTAATGAGCGTTGTAATTAATAGATCGCTCTCCTTGTCTCCCTGCTTGCACTCAGGGCGAAGCACTTTCCTCAAGTCAACGTTTGAAAGAAAGCGGGTCGGCACTGACTTACAGCAGCCCTGTGAATTCCTTTTAATTTAGAGCTCTTATACCACCACTTCACTTATTACCTTATAATTACCGGACTGCTCGCACATACATTATGATCTTAGACTAGAGTTAGAAGTTATTAGGCTACTAAACCATAGCTGTTCCCCTTTCCTGTCTCTGGCACTGAATTTCTCACAGCAATGACAATTAACTCTTTCACCATCTGCCTGAAAGGCATCTTCTTTCTCTCTCTCCTTCCTTCTCCTCCCCCACCTCTGTCTCCCAGAGGAGCATTGCCTTGCCCCCTGCCGATCACAAAACCCACCCCATTTCCCCTATGCTCCTCTCTCCCTCCCCCACCAGCCCCTCTAAGTTCACTCTCCTCCTTATTCTTCACCGCCTCAGGCTTTCTTTCATGGACTTGTAAAATTTGCAGATTCTCCATTTAAGAGAGAAAAGGCCAGAAATTACTCTCTCATGTATACGACAGTTATTTGCTTCAGATTTGCTATATCGGCCAAATGTATGTGCCAAAGGCATGTTGTTCAAAGTCTCCAAAAACTGGGGACTCTTCAGTCAGCTGTCTCATCCAAAATGTCAGCCTATAACTCAGCAATAACCCCAATGCCAGCAGGATAATCTTTTTGACTAGAGCTTCCAGGGAAATCCTGGGAACCCTGGCAGTACCTTCTCATTGATCTGCCCACTTATCCATAAGTGAATGAAGTAAACTGGATTTGTTCAGAGGTTGTAAGCGTTTCTTTTCTAGTCATAAACTACCTCCTTAATTAATGCCTTTTGCCCAAAGTAAATACTAATAAGTCTTCCATTTATTAAATGATTCTGACATGCCAGGCACCAAGCTGCATGCTTTACAAAGATGACCTCTGTTATTACCCAAGAGGTAATCTTTATGAAATTAAGCTTCAGACGGTCTGAAACTTAAAAGCCAGACAGTTAAGGAACTGGTAGGGTGGGATGTGAACTCATTTCAGACTCCAAAGTCCAGAGTAGAAACATCTCAAAGCCAAGACAGATCCAAATGCTACTCACTGATTTAAAGAAAAATTAAAAATGAAGGTAAAAACCGGCACAACCAAGAGTAGAGATGGTATACACAGATCTACTGCTTTCATTTCTCAGCCGTTCCCTCCACTATGCACCCAGTAGGAAGAAAGGACCAACCAAACTGCCCTGCTAAGTCACATCCCCACAGCTCATGTGACACCTAAACACAATCTCTGAAAGCATACAGTTGTCTCCTAATTACTACTTAGCTCACTACACTGAACGCTTCCTAGACACCATGACATTAGAACCTAAAACTACAGCTAGCCTTAATTCTCTTGCGCTCTGTCTCTGAAATTCTACAGCTCTATTATTCAAGCCTGAAATATTCACAACTATCTATAAATTCAATTGTCAGCTGGTGGGTTTTTATTCTAGACTTCACTTCAATCTAAAATTAGAGGCACTAAAACCCACATTAACTCTAAGAGGAATGCAGTGAATAAGACTTTATTTCAAAAGAACACCTTTTTGTCAGAAAGAGCCATTTTCAAGATGATGGCTTTATCTGCAGCCGAAGAGAATAAACCCAATTTCACATTGTGCTGTTAATGCAGAAATTTTAGGTCACATTGGGTTAATAAAAGTCTAAATTTGGTTAAGAAAGAAATGAATAGAAATAACGTGTTGAAGTGTGGGGAAAATATTTATTTTAAAAGCTCGATACAGGTGACTTTTGTTTTCTTATTTTGAAGGACAGATGAAAAGGGTAAGACAAGACAAGCCGTTTTCCAGAAATCTGTGAACACACACAACACCCTGAGAATAAATTGGGGGAAATGCAGATCTAAATCAATGTTCAGAAAGTTGGGGGGAGGCGGGGTTCAGTAGCACACAGCCTGCCCATCTCAGATGAACAAGAGCCTGGGTTTAATCTTCATCATTGAAAATATTTTTTAAATGCAAAATCACATTTTTTAATGTAAGAACTAGCATTTTATGAATTTAGCAGCCTTCTTAAAATTTCAGTGCTTTAAGAACCACTTTCAATGCAGTTCAAGACATGTTCTCAAACAATCCTGAGTATCTTATTTGACATAAAAATGTGTTTTCTAAGCTAGGAGTTAGTGGCTCATGCCTTAATCTTCACTATTCAGGAGCTTGAGATCTGAGCATCATGATTCAAAGCCAGCCTGGAAAGGAAAGTCCATGAGACTTTTTATCTTCAAATAACCAGCCAAAAGCCAGAAGTGGAAGTGTTGCTCAAGGGTTAGAGCTCCTGCCTTGAACAGAAAAAGCTCAGGGACAGTACCCATATCCCAGTACCAGCACTAAAAATGAGCACAAAAACAGAAGGTGTTTTTTATTCTTGCCTCGGGGTCTGTAAGGGCAAAATTTATCTTTGGTGCTAGAGATGAACAATCAAGTAAATGAAACTTCTCAGGGGATAGACTTTTTAAGAAGCAATTCTTGAGAGTTAATTAACTGTGTATATATGTAAGCATTAAAAAAAGTGAGAAATAAGAGAGAGAACAGGAATCAATTAAGTTGCTGCTGTAGGGGAAAACAAGATCATTGGGAACTTAATATTCAATTTATATTATAATTATCATTAATTGTCATCAGTGATTCTACCTAGATCCAGGTAAATGTGTGAACATGAGGGAACTGAAAGGAGTTAGAATTTCTATACACATGTGTAAATGTCCAGTGTGGACATTTCAAAGGTAAAACGTAAGAGGAGCCAGCACTTAAGCTGGCCATGG